AGGGACAGGAAGAGGACGATGTCTCGAGCGAAGAACCGACAAGGGGAAAGGGCAGGGAGAAGGAGGCACGACGGGGCTTTGTCTGGCACGGAGGCGTCTCGTGGGACCGCGCCCCCACGAGTCCCTCACTTCGGCCTCCGTCGCCCATCCCCCTCTCGCATTGCCTGAGGCAGATCAGGGGGCGGCGCGAGCAGGGAGCGGTTGTTCCCGTGTGGTGGGAGATGAGCCGCCGCGAGCGGGCACATATCCGGAGCCGGCGGAGGTGTGCCACGCGTCTGGGATCCAAGAGAGGGGTTGGGCGGGGCGGCCTCTTGGACAAAGAAGCGGTCGGGGTGCTGCTTGCCGCGCGCGCGCGCGCGCCTGTGGGGCGGAGGGGGGGGGGGGGGGGTGGAAGGGGGGAAGGGGGGCGGAGAACGCGGCATGGGACACGAGACGCCAGCATGAGCAGGGCGAGGTCAGACACGGGCACACGCAAATGACCGGCCAACTGGCCGGCAGGCCGGCCGGGGACACAAGGACCCGGGCCAGGGGCCTGGCAGCCGGCAGTGTCAAGCCACGCACCGACTTGGTGATGAGATTGGCCAAGGCCTGGGAGGGATTGGAAGAGGCGCCAGCCTCGGCACGGAAGCCGCCAGCCCCGGCGGCCCCGGCCGCACCGCCAGCCCCGGCCGAGTACATCCGGAGCAGGGCCAGCGGATTGACCGCCTGGGTGACATGCTCGTCATCATCATCGGCACCTTCGTCATCCTCGTCGCCGGCGATCGGCGAATCGGCACCCAGGCCGGCCGGCAGCCCGGGATCGGCGGCCGGCTGGCCGATGGAGGAGTAGTGCTGGTACGTGTCGGGGTCGGCCACGCGGAGGGCCGCGCTGCCGAAACCCGGGCCGCCGGGGATCGCCGCCAGCCGGGGATCGCCGCCAGTGGTGTCCACCAGCTCGCTGTGGCCCGAGTGGAAGGAGTGCAGCGAGCTGAGCGAGTGGATGGACGACCGGGCCGAGTGGGTCCCGGCGCCGGGGGGGGGCAGCCCGGCGGCCGCCGACAACAGGGCGTTGATGGAGGACGAGTTGGGCAGCCGGGAGGCTGGCTCCGGGGCGCCGGCCTCGCTGCCACCGCCAGCGGGGGAGCCCGGCATGCTGCCCATGCCATCCGGCAGGGCGGGGGGATTGGTTAGCAGGACCGACGATGGGCGTGACATGCGCTGGAGGATGAGCGGATTGAAGACGGCTATGGACTCGGTGCGCTCAAGCGGCGCATCCGAGTCGTAGCCATCGTCGTCATCGTCGCCGCCGTCGCCGCCGTCGCCGGCCTCGGTCATGCTTGGGGGCTCCTTTGTCTCGAGGTTGCCGCCAGCACTGTCAGTGAGGTCGGCACCGGGGCTGGCCGGCGTAGGGAGCCCGGGTCCCGTCGCATCAACCGGGGAGATGGTGGCGGCACCCTGATCCACGAGAGGGGCGACAGTGTCGCTGGTGCCCGGTCCGTCCATGCTGGCAGGCGAAGGTCTCTCTTGCTCGCGCGCGCAGAGGAGGTGGAGGGTGGGTGGTGGGGGCGGGGGATCGAGGGGCGGCGATCAGGCGGGCAGGAACACGACAAGAGAAGGGTAGCGGGAGGCAAGGAGCAGGAGGGGGGGGGGAGGAGGAGGAGGGGGCAATGGAACACCTTGGCCAGACCGGGCCAGGCCGGGCAGGGGCGGCATGCTGGGCGAAAAAGCCCACGGCATGGCCCCCGGCGGCGCAGCTTTGGGAGGGGCTGAGACCCTCGCGCCATGGGCCCCCCCCCCCCCTGAGAGACCAGCGGTGGGGAGAGACCGGTATCGACAAACACGCCAGCCGGCTCTCGGCAAACACTCACGGAGTCCGGAAAAATGAGCCAGGCACAAATGCACACACGCGTACGTGCCCTACCCACATGCAAGACGCACACGCACGCATACACGCATATATATATAACGCACACGCGCATGCCCTCCGGACAGTCAAAACAGTCCCGGGAGAGGCATCGCGCGCGCGCGCGCGCATGGACACCCCGACGCAAGGGCGCCCATACCCTCATCCCAGCCAAATATTGCCGCGCCGGACCAGGCACACACCCACCCTGGCCGCGGCGGGGCAGGGGGGGCAGCCGGCCCCGGCCCCGGCCCCGCTGTCGCGCGGCCTGCCCAAGGGAATGGGCACGCGGAGATTGCACCGGGCCGTGCCG